TTTTTTTTTTTTTTTTTTTTTTTTTTTAGAATTTAGGGGGAACATGACTGTTGAGTGCACTACTTTGAGGGAACCTAACTGTCAAGCATGCTGATTTAGGGGGAACAAAACATTCAAGCACGCTGTTTCTGGGAGAACCAAACTTTTGACCGCGCCGTTTAGAGGGAGCCCAACTGTCAACCGCGTTACTTTGTGTCGGGCAAAATTCTGCGAAAACTTAAAATGGATGAACCTAAATTTATTTTGGGGGAACCCTTGAAAGTTTCTGCACCCCTGCGATATACATATTTCAAGAGAAGATAAAAAATCCACTTACCCAGATTGGCACAACATCATCATTATAATGGAATAAGTCATAGCTATATCCATGGGACCGATTGTTGTAGAAAACGTGATTAGCAAGAACACCATGATCCTCAGCATAAACTCCCGTTCCTATCGAAAAATGATTTGGAAATGTTTTCGTCGGAAATATATTTCTAATGTAGTCCGCTCGAACTCCGATTTGTGATAACGCATAGAGATTGGGGGTGGCACTTTTGTTGAGGAAATCATACCTGAAGGCATCAAATGAAACTACCAGAACTGACGGGTGTTTGGAAATTGACCCGACTAAATTTAAAAAACAGGAGAGACAGATGAAAGCTAGCGAGAGCATTGTAACAATATCACTTAAAACTACTGGTGACCGGAGAGAATGGATATGCCATCTCAACTCACGCGGACACTGGACGGAATGACTGATAACATTTCGGAGATAGCAGGTATGCAAAATAAGTGTCCCCTGCTCCAAAGTGAGTTCCCCCTCCACTTCACGGGTGTCAAAGTAGTTTCAGAATGCATGACACTCCAAGCACTTACTGACGTCGGTTCTTTTCAGATATAATCTACTCAAAAACGCGAAATTTCTTCTCACAACAGTCACAGGGCATTTCATTGCCATGCCAGTCCGTATTGTACGCGATCACACAAATCCTGGCTGGAAGTACTTTTTCCATATGGGACACTAATAACACAGGACACGGCTGACAGCTGAGTAAATTTATTCAAGCAAGACTCGGAAAAATGAGGAAACGATGGAGCGCGAGATTTTTTGCAAATGTTTTGAAGGAGGATGATGAGAAGGATCGAACGCAAATTCGAAATGCGGAAAAGCTGTAGGTCATTGCTCGCGTTATCACATCTGTCTGTGACTTTCCTAAAAATACTACAAGGTTATGTCAATGTTTACTTACGTGGTCCATTTCATTTCATTGCAAACAGAGGAATTTCAAAATTCCGTTCCTTGCCGAAAGGCTGAATAAAATTTGAAAATGCGCGGTTTCTTTTAAAAGAGCGCAAAAATGCCAGCTCCATCAAAGGGGTTTTCTGCTCGTGAGAGCTGAGAAGCAGCTATAATATTTGGGAATAAGATATCGACGGTGAAACTACCAGACTACGTATCTCGTTTGCGGTGTTTAAAAATCTCCACTCACATTTTATTTTTTTAAAGGAGATCAAATCAATATCATTCCTTACAATTTTCACAGATTTTTCTCCGCACAAAGAGGAAAAATCACGGAAGTTTTCACGAATTGACGTTGAGTAGTTTTCTATTTAAAAAATAAATTTTGACAGGAAGTCTGCAACGTCGCAAACTGAAATACGTGGTTTGGTAGTTTCACCGTCGATATGCAAAATCTTCATTCTCGGGAGTCAGAGGTACTTTGAATGTTTTATTTTTTTCAGGAGATGCAGAAATGGTGCATGCACAGTAGTAATGAAGCGCAATTATAAATGATACTTGTATTGCTCTTTGTGAAGTGGTTGTGCATACAGTAATATGTATGGTAAGATCACACATCGGAAAATCAAATTGGATCATTCAATCACTCCCTGGGTACATCTTCATTCAATATTAGTTGTGCCTCATTTGCTTGTGTCTAACGAAGAACATAATTGCGCACATACTATCCTAAGAGGAATTATGTGCAAATCAATCGAATCAAAAGGAACTACCTATGTTACTTAGGTATTTGTGTACTTCATAGTTTCTTTTGATTCAATTCATTTCTGCATAGTTCCCTTCTAGCAAAAGTATCATTCTAGAGAATCACCTACATTCTCACTTGAGCTTTCAACACATTAAGTTGTCTTGTGTGTAGTCTATTTTAATTCAAGCAACCTTCAATTGTGCACCTATGAACATTGTAAACCTTTTCCCAAATCATTTCCAAGTCTCCAAAAAAGTTATGATTTAGAAATATACAATTGGACATGCAGTGACACTTTTGGTGTCTCTACATATGCCTCAAATTTTCATTTTTTACAAGATTATTTTTTTTTAACAAAATTAGAATGATACTACTTGAAATAATGATTATTCTTTTCCTTTTGTTTATGAATGTTGAATTAAATCTAATTATTGTTTACTGCAATGTTTCAATACATTTTCCTTTAATTTTTTCTGGGGGGGGGGGGGGGAGGATAAATAAAAATGAACAAACTTATTTGTTTGACATTTTTTAAGCGCTTTATTTTCCTGGGGAGATTTAATTATGTTTGATCGCCAGGAGAAAAACTTCATACTCGGTTGTGCTTAACTGCTTACTCAATTTTTTTTCTGTTCAGAAGGTACATATTTACGTTTGCTACTTTATATGCAAATTGTAAGGAGAAGGGACTGAAAAATTGCAATGGAGCTCAGTGATTCAAAAATGCAAATGGGTACCTATTACTTGTGTACATAGACATACTATACATGCCAATTTTTTTAACAAAGAAATACAAAAATAGCAAACATATTTATTGAAAATAATTTAGAAATCACAATTGATAGATACCTATCGCTTAACAGTACGTATTGTAGGATACGAAATCCTACACAAAATTAGCTTTCACTGCATTTGGTACCCTCACACCAGGCAGTAGCATTTCTGAACATTTGGAGCCATGGGGATTCTTCGGGAGGGTTTAGGCTCCAATTTGGAGAGACGTACGGCCATTGCCACATTTGTACACACCTTTCTGGATGAGGCATCATGGCTAAGTGCCTTCCGTCCATAGAGCAAATACCCGCCAATCCACCTGAAGTAAATAAATGATAATATCAAATTATAAACATGTTTCTTTTGAATTAAAAATATGAACACAGCAAGTCATTAACTAGTAATTAGAGGTACGACTTGTTCTCGTTTATCATCATCAGCATTAATAAAGATGATCAGAAATTAAATTAGATTTCATTGCAAAGTCTAGCTTCTCCATTTTGAGGGCTTCCACTTCAAATTGTCTGTTTTGATTACCTTATCAATTCTCGAGTGATGATTATGGTGTTTAAAACATGATTTTTACATGAGAAAAAAAGTTTTTATACATAATTCAATTTGTAACATTTTTTCTGTTTTTTACTTCCCTGAAAAAGTTTGATACTTTCTAAAGGTGATAAAATTTACCTGGGCTTCCATTAGGATTGAGAGGGTATTTGGTGGTTGGTTTTTCTTGCTCATTAACATATCTGATAGCAAAACATTTGCTCTTTTCTAAGGCTGATTGAATGTGTTCGTCTCTGAATACAAACCGTCCTGTAACAAAAAAAAGACATAATGTCAATCAATCTGAAAAGATGTCTAAACCCAGCAACTGAAACATTATGTGTGTAAAACTTAATCTTGAAAAGGGATGTCGGAAAAATTTAAATGTTAAATTTTGAAAGACTGGTTTCCAACTGAGGTTTGCTTGAAAACTTTACGATTTTCAGAATATTTGCAAAACTACCGAACTTTTGAAACACTATTTCTTCCTTTTGTCCTTTTTGTCTGCTAAATTTTATAGACAAGATTACGAGAGGACGAATGTCCATTGAAGCAACTAAAATGATGGT